GGGTACAAGGAGGGTCCTGGGAGCTGACGTTGTTTTTGTTTTTTGTCTTGTATTACGAGCTTGGGCTGAGGTTAGTTTAGAGGAGGCTTGGGGCCGCCCCTATGAAATTTAGTGTGTATGGCTTCCTTGTAGAGATGGCATAGGGATGAAAAATCTAAACCCTAGACCCTAAAGGCCCTAAACCCACAAAAAAATCAGAGAAACAACTATCCCCAGAGGGGCGCTGCTTAACTTCAGGGGCTTTTCACGCTCATAGTCCCAACAAACAGGGAACCTACCTTGTGGCCATTTTGAGGACAGGTCGTTTAGGGTTTGGGGTTTAAGGCTCAAGGCTTAAGACGTGGGGTGTAAGGTTTAGCCTCCCACCTAGGACCCAAATGGCAGCGGATACAAGGACTCAACACAAGATCACATTCAAGCAAGTGAATCCGCATGCTTGGGGTTCAAGTTTGGTGCAAATGAGATTGTCGTGATGTCCTTCACAGGACAGCTGACAAAAAGGGGATTTAGGGTTCCTAAAGAACGTTATATGCCCCAGAAAGAGGTTTACATTCCCAGCATAAGGAAACAAGGATTACATTTTCATAATGAGGGTCAGTTTCCCATTACAGGGGTCATATTCTCAATTAGTAATCCTGAGACCTAAGCCAAATTTTGGAAGAGGTGTGGCTTCCTAGGTAGTTCACGCGCACGCTTTTCCTGGAGGGCCATGTTGTTTAAGGTTGAGGGGTTCGCCTGCATCAAACGTAGAATTACACCACCATGGTTTCCCTTAGGCTCCGCATATCCTAAGCCCTAAAACCAAAACCAAAATAGATTACTAAACCCTAAACCCTAAACCGCCCTACTCTCATCATTTAGGCTGCTATATGCTATCCTGCGTAGAAAGAAGCCCTGTGTAGCCAGTAGTTCATTGTTCATTTCTTGTTTATTCGATTCTCTTGAGGTTTGGGGTTCATGGTTCAGGGTTGGAGGCTTTCAGGTTTGGGGTTTAGGGTTTTAGGTTTGGTGTTGGTGTTTTCTTGTCATTGTAGTCTTATCTAGTTTGTGTGAAAGAGAGGGTGCCTTCATGCTGTAAAGCGGGGGGTCCCACATGGGAGTTTGAAAACACTTTTTGGTATTCGAGGGCTTATGGAAATTATCATATGTGTGACCGCTGTGGATTTCATTGATTTGCTGTAGTTGCAGCTAGGCAGGGACGACGCTCAAATTATACCCGGTGATAACCCATATCCCTTAGTACAGAACGCCTCCGGGAGCAACAGTCCAGGCTCAAAGGATTAGACTTGATCGGACATTATGAACCAGGAGACACTCGTGCAGTTGCAATGTACGGAGTACATTGGCTTCAGTTTTTGGATTGACCGAGCTGTGTAAGCAGGCAGCACGAATTGCTGACTGGCCAGCGCAGGACTACGCTATGTCTTTTGACAGAACTGGAGCCCTGAGGGTCAACGCCAAGGATAGCAGTTGTGCTTCGCAAGGTACGTGCTCAGCCCCAAGCCCCAACTCCCTCGTTAATCCCTGTTTCCATTACGTTTGGTCATGCTGGCATTCATGAATGCTCTCCCTGCTGAGTTACACGGCCTGAAGGTGTTTTGTTTCGGGTGCAAACAATTCAACGGAGCTAGCATGTGGGACTACCTGTCTACCCGAAACCCTGACTACACTAATCCCTAAGCCTTATACCTTCGGTGCAGGGACTCTTGGGCTCAGGCAAGATAATATATCCAACTCATTCTTAGTGGCATATTTCTGGGAGCCTTCTGTTTGTACCCCTTAAAATAGCCCGAGCGTTCCTTAAAGTTGATGAAAGTAGTAAGTAGCTCAATGCGGATCAGCTCAAACTGAACGTGATTTTTAGAGAGTTTAGGGTTCAGGGTTTCGGGCACAAAGCCCAAAAACAAACACTACTCTGTAGCAATCTTTTCAAGCCGCTTGGCCCTATGAAGCTTTATGCTGAAAGTTCCCTGAACACGTTTTTAAACGTTAGTTTCTTCTAGATTTATCCACTGCACCCAAGAAACAGTTGACACTACGGTTTCTACCAGGGTTCCAGGGAATTTATAGTATGGAGCCAGGCTAAGCAGCTTCCAGTTCGTTCAGCAGCCTTGCTCTCAGCACCACGGGAAAGAGCTTTCCTTCGTTTTCATGTTAGCACTTGAGGTGTAGGGAGTTTCGTCGGTGAGCCTTTTGGGGCCTAGTTTGAATGCCCAGCTCAGTATCCGTTCGAATGATGATCGCGTAATTTTTGAAAGCCCTTAAGATAACCTTGTTACCCTATCATAGACTTACTTGTTGGGGCCGGTACCCAAAGTTTAGTTCTGGGGAAACGTTGCAAGGACTTTGATGTTTAAAGGCTAGGGGTAGGGGGAGATGTTTTGAGGCCGTGGACCTGTCAGAGGTTTTGGTCGTGTCCTGGGATGTCCTTAGCACCGCATGCGTAACCCCATTCGAGACGGTAGATCTGCTGTAAGCCTTTTGGCTTTCAGGGGCATTTTTCCAGAACAGCCCCAGACCTTGCCATAAGTCTTTGGATTTGTTTAGTTCAATTTCATTTCTCAAATAGACAACTAACTTAGGAGGACCCCCACCCTGTAATAGTGGTATAAATCAATATAAGAGGACCCGAATATAATCCCTATTCATCTTATCGTGGTCCACCCAACAGCTAACTAAGATCATCCTAGGCCCAAGCCTAAACCCTGTCTTTGGAAGAAGATTTCCTTCTCAAGTGCAGAGGGCCGGTCTTCATAGAGCAACCCTGTAGTGTGGGTTGATAAGGCCCTTTTTTGGGGGGGGGGTTAGGGGTTTAGGGTGTTTCCAAAATTATCCGTCCTTTGCAGGGGATACCTATAATTATAAACGCTATCGCCCGCCCGCCTCGGCTGGCGGGGCGCGGAGCACACGAATAGGTCATGGTCATGGTATGTAGTTCACGCGTGGGGTTTAGGGTCGAGGGAGTAACGGAGGCAAGCCTCACTTCAGACGTATTTGTTGCACGCCTGTTCCAACATTCAGGCAGGGGGTTGGATGGGCTTAGTCCATCAGCCTCTAGTGAGGGAGTCCGCAACTGTAGAACCGGCCTCAAGGAGCAGGGCTGCGTTTCAGGGACGGAAACTGTATGTCCCCAACGAACCTGAATTTCTTCTGACCATGGGAGAAGGCGGTCGATATACACAGAGCCAGAAAGCAGACCGCCTAGCAGAATCCTTAGTATACAACATCTTGTGTCTCCTTCACATCATCCACATAGCAGGTGAGAAGAGCTATTTGCTTGGGAGTTGGGAGGTTTAGTATTCGCTTGAACTGCAAAATCTTGGGACCGACTGCGAGCTTCGGCGAATAAGGGTTATAGTATCGTTAATAGGGTGTGTTTTGGTAACTACGGAAACGCAAATTTTTGGGGGTTCCCCAAAATTAGGGGTACCTTTTTGGGGGTCCCCATAATAAGGATTGTAGTATTTGGGTGTCTATATTGGGGTCCCCCTTATTTGGGAAACTGCAATTTCTCTATTGGTTCCAATGTCTTGAAGTCTGAGTGGTATGACCTTAAATTCTCAAGCCAGTGGCCTGAGGTTATTACTCTATACTTGGAGGACTAGGATGACTTGTTAAGCACACTTCGCACCTTTATAAAGCCATATCGCAATGCCCATTATCCTCTACATATTCTCCAAGTAGGTATATCCCCTTACTGTGATAGAATATGGGGTATGTGAGGATCAATATACCCAAAGCCATATTATATCTACTTCAGGGGGACTATACCATAAGAACTCAACTAATTAGGAAGTCTGGCGCGGCAAAGCTTAACTCCTCCAGCTTCAAGAGGCGAAATCTTTCAATCAAGACCTGTTAAAAAACTGTTAGGGTTTACGGTTTAGGGTTAGGTCTCAGGGTTTAGGGTTTAGGGCTTAGAGTTTAGGGAATAGACTTTAGGGGCCCTACAAGCCCTAATGAGAGGTGCGTGCTTTCCTTTAGTTTCACCCGTACGTGCCCCAGATTGCTGGACCCTCCGGATGGCACGGCAGAGAGAGAGAGACCCTAAATCGTAGGGTTCAGGGTGGCATCCAAGGCAGAGGTCGTGATGGGCCAAGAAGAAGTGCCGACGCGGATTCCTGAACCGCCCCTCCCTTGGAAATTACGGAATTTTTGGTCCCCTACCTTGAAAGAGGATTGAGATATACAGGATTTTTTTCGGGATATAGGATTTAGGACTTAGGACTTAGGGATTAAAATTTAGG